TAAGGATGGCAGTTTCCTTCCTTAAAGGGCATTAGTGAACCAGATGGGTTTTTCCCAACAATCAACAATGGATTCACAGTCATCATTAGACTCTTACTTCCAGACATTTATTGAATTCAAATTCCACCATCTGCCATGGCGGGATTCAAACCTGGGTCCCCAGAACATTATCTGGGTCTCTGGGTTGACAGTCCAGTAATAATACCATGAGGCCGTTGCCTCCCATTGTCAATGGATGGAAGACATTGGGAAGACTTTTCTCTTTGGCACCCTGCCTCAGAGCTTAGTGAGGAAGAAATGGTCGAACATGAACCTGGGAATTAGCTGCAAATGACTTTCCACCCATTAAAAGGACATTAACCCATGAGTTCTGATGAAGGGTCTAGGCCCGAAACGTCAGCCGCTCTGCTCCTATGATGCTGCTTGGCCTGCTGTGTTCATCCAGCCCTGCACCTTGTTGTCTCTTAACCCATGAGTGGTGTGTGCTTTAATTTGCAATCAACTTCCCACCATCTTTTCCATCTGGACACCTAAGGGAATTATCTGGTACTTGGCTCCTCAACCAACACCGTTTTAACAGGAGATCATTTATTTCACTGTTTCTGAGAGCTATGTGTGTGCTAATTTGCAATCACATTTAAAAAAAACTTGACTGCAAAGGCTTTCTTCATTCACAGGGTGTGGGCATCACTTTTTTTCAAGCAGTCAACCACATTGAAATGTTGCCTGGGATCACTTGTAGGTCAGACTAGGAAGGATGGCTGACCAGATGGATCATCAACAGTTTCACGGTCATCATTAGACTCCAAATTCCTGATTCTCTTTTTCCCCTAACTGTTGAATTCAAATTCCTCCATCTACCATTGCAGGATTTGAACTTGGACATTACCTGGGTCTCTGCATTAATAGCCTAGTGATAACACCATAGGTCACCACCTTCCCTTTATAACATCCAGAGGTGAGAAGCACTATTTAGAAGGATGCTGTGAAAGTTGAAAGGGTTCAGAAAAGATTTACAAGGATGTTGCCAGGTTTGGAGGGTTTGAGCTGTAGGGAAGAGGCTGAATAGTCTGGGGCTATTTTCCATGGAGCGTCAGAGGCTTAGGGGTGACCTTATAGAGGTTTATAAAATCATGAGGGGCATGGATAGGGTAAATAGACGAGGTATTTTCCACGGGGTAGGGGAGTCCAAAACTAGGAGGGCATAGGTTTAAGGTGAGCGGGGAAAGATTTAAAAGGGAGTGACTTTTTCACACAGAGGGTGGTATGTGGATGGAATGAGCTGCCAGAGGAAATAGTTGAGGCTGGTACAATTATGAAATTTAAAAGGCATCTGGATGGGTATATGAATAGGAAGGGCTTAGAGGGATATGGATCAAATGCTCGCAAATGGGGCTAGATTAATTTAGGATATCTGGTTGGCATGGACAAGTTGCACCAAAGGGTTTGTTTCTGTGCTGTGTATCTCTATGACTCTATCAATGAAAGTGTTTTTCCTCTCTCTCTTGCATTGCATCAAGCCCTTAATTACTTCTGATTTGCACATCTTAATGAGGATCACAGTTATGGTTGGGAAAGATTGTATGAAAGCAGCAATGGGGCAGCAAGTTTAGCTTCATGATATTGGAACACATCATCTCAGGTAACCAAAAGAAATGATTTGAGTGAGATCAGTACGGACGAGATTGTTCTGAGGCTGTAGGAATGAACGAGTTGACAGCGGGAGACAAATTTAAAACAGGGAAGCAACTGTGGGGGTGACTGTGTTGGGTTGCACAGTGAAGCCTAAATGGGAAGTTCAGGATTGAAGAGAGGTTGAAAGGCTAGAGATAGGAGGAAATGTGACCATCAGACAAGCTCTGATTAGGAGATTGGCAGACTTTCTATTGCACAGCAAATTACCTCATCGTATAATCAAAAAACACACACACACAGACACAAACACACAAATGCACACACACAGACACAC